CATGTTAGTAAATCCAAGCGTATCATTTGCGTTGTAAGTTAAGCGGGAGGTTTGCACAAAAAAAAACCTCTTGAAACCTAAACACAGTACATGCGTCGTCAAATGGCACCTATAGCTGCGATTTGTTTGTTTTCATATGCCACAAGAAATTTGGTATTGTTTGCTATTTAGACATTATCTTGGTTACGCACTTTTTCAAATATATTCTGGGTTATTCAAAGAAAGATTAGGTAGCGGAGAATATTTTTGAAATTTTTAGGTTTTGCTGCTGAAATTAAATAAATAATTTAGAATAACTTACTGTCTTAGATCCACACTCAATAAGTCATCCTGTCTCAACATCTCATTCATCTGTCGTGCGTTGATCACTCTTTCCCAGTAATCAAACTAAAACCGCAGCTCTCTTCTAATTATCGTAACCCTACCGTAATCCCCAAAGCGTTCTTACCCCTTCTTTGATTTCTTCGTATTGTATTAGTTCACTATATTTGAAAGCATTCAAATTGCATACGGTAGCTGCAGGGAAAGGAGCTGAAAATCAGAAATTTTTATTCAATTTCTTGAAGCAAATCTGTCAAAAATCCCCACCTGCTTCAAATCTAAGCTGCATTTCTATGATAGTCCTATATTGAAAGTATTCTGAGAGCGTCCAATAGGTTTGGAATAGGAAGAGAGTAGCGGCGCAGAAGCATACGACCATCCAAACCCGCCATCCAAAAAATGATGGGGAACTAAAAGTAAAGGGTTCTTTATCGCAATTTTCCCAGTAGAAAAAAATAGAGAAAAAAGAAAACATAAGAAAACACATTTCATTCAATTGTACAAAATAAAGTTTTATTTTTCTTACTTTTCATCTCGTAACCCGTAGGTCTACTTTCACCTTTTTTATTTGGTTAAAAAATATTTTTTAAAAAAATTCTGCTTACCCTAAAAATGGAACACCATGAGAACTTGTCCTATTGCAAAAATTCTTGAACAAAGTTTTGATGTTATGATATCGTGTATCATCCGAGGAGTCTGATCGTATTGTCGATCGTCGAGCTGACTGACGACGACTCGAGAATAATGCCGCAACCTGAACGTGTTCATAAATAGCGGTGTATAAAAAGAATTTTAAAATTCTTAAAAGATAGTTGAAATGATAAAGCTGGTAAATTGGGTTCACAGGACTGGGACTACAACAAAACTTATCCTAAATATTTCATCCTCAAAGATTTCTTTTTTTTGTATCTAGAGCGCTAATTTTCCAAAAAAACCGGATATGCGCTATTTCAAATTCAATTTAATTCAATTTCAGACTTAAT